ATGGAAAAACAGACTATCACTGTCATCTAAATGCATAAATCCAGGAAATACAATCAGACCAGAGACTCTGTCCAGATAATCAGGTAATTTTGAATGTAGGTAGTTCCCTAAGTAGGCTTTGTAATGTCCTACCTTGTGCCCAGAATGGGAGCTCTCTGACCTGTCTCAAGGGTGCTAATATTGTTCATGTAATATCTCAAGATAACAGGTACAAAATATACGCAAATTGAGTCTGAGGTCGGGGCAACAATTCTAATTTACCATGTACCTTGTGGAGTCATTCATTCCTGTTCAGTCTCACCCCATATCACCTATCAGTCAGCATTTATGAAGTGTTAAATATGCCACTCCTACTTTACAAACAAAACAGAACACTGCAGCCATAATTTGAAGACACTTTATAATGCTTTAATATCAACCTATGTGCCTGTGGGTGTGAAGGATTTTCAGATTTGCCATCCCACCACGTGTACTTCTCTCTGGTTGTGGGTAATAGTAATGTTAACTCTTGCCCTGACTTCAAGGATGGTGTAGTCCTATATTTCTGAAGACTTTAAGTCCTCAAGAGCAGAAAGCGTGTCAGAACACACATTGTACAGCCACATGCAGATGACCGCTTATGAAATGCCTTTGAAGAAAAACAGTAATTATGATAATCTATTTTTTTCTTCAGGGACCCAGAAAGCCCCCAGAGCCTCATCATTATGTGGCGTGTGTGGGTGGGCAGTTTTCCTCTCTCAGTTGACCTGTAGCACTTGCACTAAGCAGCCCTCCCTTCTGGTCCACCACAAATTACCTTTTGTTTCTTGTCTGCCTACTGGCTCGGTATCCTGGTTGAGCCCAGACTTTTTCCTAAACAATCGCCTTTCCTCAAATTCTTTCAACAAAATTTCTTCCTCTTCCACTGGTCTTTCTTCTTCCTCACTTTCAGAAGCCTTGTCGGCCACAGGTTCTCGAAGTTTCTCAGGGTCCTTCTGGATTTCGGCCTCTTTCGCATCACCAGAGTGATTCCTGACCATCCAGGGGTTTGGTCCATCTGCAGTCATCTGTACCTCATTTACCGCATCAGGAACAAAGTCATCCTCTTCCTCTGTACCTCTTTCCTCTTCACTCTCAGAGGTCACCTGGAGTTTCTGCATCAGTTCTTTGTTCCTGGCCAACTGTTCCTGCATAGCCTGGCGTGCCTGGAGGAAGAAGTCACAGCACACATGCCTTGTCATTACTGTCCAGATTAACATCTTTCATGGTCCATTTCTTAAAGCTGCTTCCTCTCAATTTGACAAAGTATTTCTTACTGGTGCTTACTGTTTAAACTGCACACACACCACCATGTTAATAGCTATAGAATAAGATAGAAGACCAATTCTTTGTCCTCAAGGAAGCAACATGTGAAACATGGTTTAAAAAAAGAAACTCTCCCCTTTAACCACTTGCCTTC